GCAAATCCCTGAATTTTCCTGCACCTCCCTTCCCTTACTGCAAGCTAGGGCTATTTCTCCTGTGCCCTCTCTATCTTTTTTTACTAAAAACGTAAGTTCCTTAAGGCTGTAGTTTGTGCAGGCTGGTGTCCAGTGTCAGGTCTCTCACCTGCAGCATTTACAGCACAGTCACTGGCAAGGTAAAATGATGGGCATGAACCGAGTGAATGAAGAGGGGAGCAATGGGATCTGCTGACCATACCATCTCACTCCGTAGTGGTGAGACATTTGTGGTCAAAGCAAGGGCAGAGCTAATTTTAGGGGTCAGACTGGGTCACAGGGAAAGTATTTATAATGTCTGGATAGAGGAAACATCTGCCTTCCCCATCTGAAAGCCATCTTGCAGGACAGTCCTGGTAGCCTTGGCTATGAAGTCGTGGCTTTCATTTCCCTACTTGTTGGTTAGTCAGGGAAGCAGATGCAAGCCAAATGAGGAAGGAAAAGGCCTGTATGCCAGGTTCCTGCTTGGGGCATGAGAGGCAGCAGAGGTGCTCTGCGGCAGGGTGCTGCCCATGGTGCAGGATTGATGCTGGCCCTGGTGCTGGCAGAGATCTGCTGGCAGCTGGAGATGTGTTTGGAACCCTCTCCACGCTGCTCGGGTCTCCTGCGTTTGTGATGATGGACTGTGTCCCAGCTTGTCCTTGCTGAGTGGTCCTTAATCTCTTACATTTTTTAATTAAGGCAATTTCTTTTGGCCTGCTGGAAGTGCTTTTCTCATGTAGAGTAATTAAAAATAAAGCCTAGCTCTGACAATTTAATGTGCTGTGAGCTCTGGTCAGGATACAAGCAGTCTTCTAAGCCATTATTCATGACACCATTCTTGCTTATTTACTTTTAAACCATGTTTTGTGGGAACTAGGGACAATAGTCTTTAGTCGTTCTCTGTAAAGTTACAGGCAGAATTAGTCCAGCTGTGAGAGCAAAGCTGTGTATGAAACATCACCTCTACCCTGTGGGCTGCAAAGCAGTCCCATGAGGACAGATGCCCTGGGGCAATGCCTTTGTGTTAGGATTTGCACCTCTGGGCAGCAGGGGTTCCCGGCTTAAAACCCAGTACTTCAGCTACTTCAGGTCATGTTAATGCTTTCTGCTGTTTGCTCCCTTTCTGTTAGCAGCAGCTGGCTGGTTTGGTCTTTGCAAGGCATGAAACGATTATCTGAAGACTTGGGCAGTCAATAAATCAGTATTGGCTAGTTAATGGCTTTATTCTGATCTTCCTCAGCGTGTCTGTCTAAATTCTAGTCTGATTGGATTCGCTGAATTAGGATGATCTCTTGTGTGCAGTCAATAAATCAGTATTGGCGAGTTAATGGCTTTATTCTGATCTTCCTCAGCGTGTCTGTCTAAATTCTAGTCTGATTGACCTGCGGGATTCGCTGAATTAGGACGATCTCTTGGGGAATATTCACCCTTGTGTGGATGACTTCAGGTTAGTTTCATCTTTGTCTGCCCTCTCTCTAACATGTTTCCCATAAAGAGTTATAATTTTGTATCTACAAAGAGTTTGGGCAAAGTTCCATTCCTTCGCAGTATGAATTTGCCCAAGGAATATTAAATCCTATATTTCAAAGTCAAAAGAGCTGTTACAGGCTGGATCAAATCTAACTCAGCAGGCAGGCTTAATGTGATGCTGGCCTGCCATGAGGTCCCATCGGTGATGGGAGATGGGATGGGGGACCTGCACATCTCAGGTCTAATCCAATCTGGGACTCACCTACTTTGATTCTTCCTCTTCTAAGTTCTCTCATGGATCTTTTAGTAGGGCTTCTTATTTTTAATTACTTATAAAAAGAGCTTGGAGAATAAACCATAAATTTAACGTCGTTTCTGCTGATAGCACATTAATACACAGTGTGCAGCTTCCTTGGGTGTGTTCCTGGGACCAGATGACAAAAGCGCTCTGATGAAGTGGGATTTTGCTTGTCATGAATATTTATATAAGAAGTCTCTGTGCCTTGATAGTTCCTGGAATGTAAATGCAAAAGGAGAGGAAGCAGATTTCTTTAACAGCTTTTTTATACGTCTTCTAGTCTACTTTCAAAGTCCTAGAAAATATTGTGCTCTTCCCTAGCAAATGCCTGAATGCCAAGCAGGATGCTAACCAGCTGTGGCAGGCCTGCACCCCTGCGCTTATGGAGATGCTACGAGGGCAGCGGGCAGTAACTGAGGGGGGCATGGCTCTACCCCCGCCTGGGCCCACGTAATTCAGCAAAGCTGTTCACAATGAGGTGTTATTTGTGCTGATCAGAACAGGCATTGACTACAATATTCAGCAATAGGAGAACATTCCTGTTGGCGTTGCTGGACTAGGACAGGCTTTTTGTTGAGATGCATTTAAATGTACAAAATGTAAGTGCATTATACTGTTTCCGCTTAACTTTCTTGTATGACTTGGCATGCAATATCATGAGAAATGGAAATTGTGGTGGTTATTGTATATTTTATCTAGAATAATTCTACCTAAATTCCTAGGGGATGCTAAAACTCTGAATGGGAAGGGTAAAGCAATGCTTTGATCAGGAACCAGGGGTAGAGCTGTAATGAAATAAATTTTTAAGACAGTGCTGTAGCAAAAGAGCTGGTTTTCCAAATTGAAAAAAGTGGGCGTGGGTGTGTGGCGCGTCGGGAAGCAGTATTACTATGAAAGATATTTCTTCTTCTTGCAGGGAAAACTGAATATTTTAAATCAGCAGCATTTTCTGGTTTAGGTAGTAGAAGACAGCCCAAAGGGAGGAGCTATCATTCTTGCAAATGCTGTTACCTGCAGCATCTGTCCTTTTACACTGGCCTTTGGTACTCTCTGCGGAACATTGACATTGAAGCGTTTCGCCGACTCTCCAATGCAAGAGCCATCATGCAAAGCGACAGCTTTCCCACATTTACAAACAGCGGCTATGGGAAATGCTACCCTGGGCTGGGGCGTTGTAAGGTACCACTGACCGAGATGATGGGGTGATCAGGGGCGAAGGCTGTTTCTGTTTTTTTTAAAGCCTGTAAACTGCCATGGGACTCATTTGACTTGTGATGGCACACTCAGTACCAGCACAATGCTTGCCTGAAGCCAGCTGAGCTGAATTTCTGTTCTTAGAAAGTAATTTTACAAACACATTAATAAGGACACAATAATTTCAAATTAAGCACCACAAATAAGGAGCTGTTTTTACAGTCTGTAGTTGGTCACAGAAACTTTAACTTCTTGTTATTATTCCTTCTAAATGTATTTTAGTTTAAGTTTTGCTTTTTTGACTCCTTCAGGCTTCAGAATTCCTATGGCAGAATTACTTCATATAATAATGATTACATTGCTCATACCCTGCAGAAAAACAAAAAATTATCCATGTATTGGATAGTCAAAAGATCAGGCAAATATTTCACTCAGTGTACAACAAAATATTATGAGGTAATTTTATTTTTTTCCCATTTGTAGGTAAAAATATTACAGTATACAAGATAATCTTATTAAAGGTAAAAATACAGTATTTTGCTTTTTCTCTAAACAGATCTACATACAGTACACTTTTTTATTTTGTACAAATATAACTGTTATTCTATTAGACTATCTGTATTCTCATCTGGCACTTAAGAACTGACCACAGGTCACCTTCTGGTTCTGCTTGTTTTTCTCAGCTGATACCTAAATGTAATGTTCATCTTATAGGTGTCTCTTGTAAACAATCAGTACAGTTCAGTGGTTCCCAAGTAGTAAGGTGTGCTTTAAGTAGTTGAAATCCTGTAGCTAAACATAAAAACCCAAGCAATCCAAGTTTGCAGTTGTGTTGCGCAGACTCATCGCTTTCCTGTTGCAGAAGTGTAATCCAAATACTTGTATTACTGCAGCGTTTAAAACAGTTTTAATCCCTTCCTTGTCCTCTGTAAGAGCCAAACACATAAGACAATAATTTCTACAATGATTTTTTCCTTTATTTCCTTTTTATTTGTCAGAATGCTCTCAGTGGAATTGAAGATTTTTCATATTGATTTAAAGGTTTGAAACTGCTGGGCTCTGTTCTTTATGATTTATCTCACCCTATGGCTTGCTGTTTGACCTCTGGAATCTGAAAGCTGAGCTCAATTGCATCACTGTCACTGGATTAATGTTGTTCCTTGAACTGAACACATTAGCACAATATATATTATTTCTGGGTAATCCTGGGAAGTGAGTTTCACATCATTATGAATATTTCAGTACACTGTTGAAGCTGGGATCATCTAAGGATAAACGGGAGGCTAGGTGTGTACAGAGAGACCATATCCATTAGTGGACTAGCTAATATAGCTGGAAAAGGTGAAGAGTTTTTGTCTAAGAATCCTTTTATCAGGTTCTAGCAGAGGGATGAAAGGATGCTTTACCCAACAAGCTTGATTCATTTTTTTCCAACGCTGTCATCCGATCTCAAAAGTAGGTGACCTCTGCTTGTCGTACGTTGCCTTGGTCATTTCAGCAGATGATTTCTTATTTGCTTTTCATTAACCACAGTGCTGTTCAAAGTTATCTTCATGGATGCCCATGTAAACATAAAAGGAGAGTACACACCCAAGGATAGGAATTTTAAAAATTTTTCAAGGAATATGCTTGGCACATTTTTTCTTCAGACTTCAGCCAGTTCTGATCAGTACAGTCTCAGTTGATATAAATGAGCACAGTTGCATTGTCTTCACTAGAGTCAGATGAGTGAAGATCTGGCTTTTTTGCCTTTAACTAGAGGTGCCTTCCCTATGGTGCATCTATTTCTGATGTCAAAGGGCATATATTTTTACCAGTAAGTCACTTTTGTATCATAAAAGGTTTAACTGCTAGCTCACCAAGCACAGGAGTAATGCAAAGTGCTCCTGCCAATACTTGCTAGTTAGCAAAAGTTGACTGTGTGGTACCCATCTTTTATATATTTTTTGCCCTCCTAAGATGCTGGTTGAAACTGAGCAATGTTTAAAAAAACAGTTGCCTTTCTCTGTGTTCACCATCAAATGTCCTTATTTAAGTTCTTCCCAAATTTGTCACTCAGCTGCTGTATTAGTCTTGCCAGCTCGCCAGTAGCTTGTGACTTTTCCTCTAAGAGTTCATAGCGGAGACTAGAAATATCTTGCTTAATCTCTTTAAGTTCTCCTAAAAGGAGGAAAATGTTCTTGTTAGCAATATTGAATCAAATAAGTAATCACTATAGTTTTAAGACCTGAGAGAGCATTAATTTCAGTGTGCTTGGTCGTGAATGTGTGTGGAGCTCCATAAGAGGTCCCTGCATTTATGCACTTATTATTTGTTACTAAGAAATAATCTGTACTTGTAGTGGTGGTACTGACAGCAATAGCAAGTATGTATGGAAAGTTTGTCTTTTTTCTCAAGTCTATTCTCTCTCCACATATTGATCTCCACCTACACTGGGCATTTGCAGGAGGGTAGCAGTTAATGGGTGTTAGAAGGAGATTCTTTTCCATCTGCATATAAATCCTACATGACACCATGGCAATACAAACCCTTATCCACTTCAAAAAAAAGTCCTTGGGGCAGGCATGAGCAGTAAAGTCAGAAATTGCTTTACTTAGACACTAAGATAAGGTTGGGTGTTGGCAATACCCTGGGTGTTGTAAAGCAAGGAGAGGTAGAGTTATGGGTCAGATCAGGACTATGTAAAGATCCTATGAAATATTTGTTCTGCTAAGGAAAATGAAAGACCCAGAACTTCAAGAGCATTAAGGTGTCTGAGAGGCACCACTGCTCACCTTAGTGCAAACATGAGCATGCCCTCGCTTTACAGAGGATGTTATCTAAGCTCAATCCTATTAGTGGCCATATCAGTGGCAATAACATTACATGCTCTAATCTGTGTCAATTATAAAAATCCACTTGCCTTCATTGACCTCATCATTTTCTCGGTCAACCTGAGCCTTCAGTACATACCGCTTAATCAGACGTTTCATTATTTTCTGAAAAGAGAACAGAAACCCTTATCTTAATGGGAGTTTATCCTCGTTGCCTCAATTCTAGATGTATTATGAGCAATTCAAACACCAGATTTCACTATGGATAAAACCTGGCTTCAGAGGATGCAAAGAGAATTTTTTTTTATTGACTTCCCATTTATTTTATACTTTATATTATGAACTTTGTACTACAATAGTTGATTGACAGCCATTCCATATTGAGCCCTGGGGTATTTTGTGGGATGCACGTGAATGTAGGGTATGTCCCACAGACAGAAAGAAAACACAGATGATCTAATAGCAAGCTAAGAAATGGGATCCAGAGCCTTCCTTTAGCATGTTGCTGTTTAATGTATCAATAAAAATACTTTACAGGAAGAAATAAGTGGTTTATTAATGATATTAGCAAACTCACTCATGATGATGAACATCTCACCCAAGGTTAACAGAAAGAATCTGTTTGCCTTGCAATTGAGGTTTTAGGACAGAAATCAAATTTAGTGAAGGACAGAGAAAAGAGTTTGAACAGAAGTGGAGAACTTGGCTTAAGTGAGAGAAATTTCTTAGGGAAATGGCAGATTTTAAGGGACATGCACAGGGAAAAAAAATAGAGCCATGTAGACTTATAAAATGGGAGATGATTGTTAGTAAGGAACAGTGTATATGGAAATAGTAGAAGATGGCTATGGATATGAGCTTGCAATGTGATATTGTTCCAAAACCCGCGTAAGTTACATTTATCTAGAAGGAAAGTAACTTTGGCAGTCAGTCTACACACTGGGTTACAGCTGAAGGTCTGCGCCATTGCCAGTTCTTCACTACAGAAAATACATTCATTGATGGGGAAAATCTCAACTATGATAAACATAAAAAGGATTGCTCTGTCAGAGACGGTGATTTAGGTGCATCCTCTGCAAACAGAGGAGAGCTCAGTGAGCATCCAAGAACAAATATACAAACGTCTCTCGTTGACCAGATGGCCACTGCTAAGGGAAAAGCCTCTCCCAGCATGGGCTCACTTATTCACAGAGCAATCACCTGTCTCTGCTTTGAACACCACTGGAAAACACTGCAAATGGTGTGAAATATGAATTAAGAAATCAGTACACTTGCTTTTTTTTCTTAGTAGCCAAATACGGACTATAGCAGTGCAAAAGGCATATGAACATCAAAAGAAGGACCCAGCCATTTGTATATGTCATACAATCATGGAATATGGGATGGCTAAGACTGTTCTTGTATCTAAGAGGCATCTGGCTAACTGGCTGAGTCATTAAGGCAACAGAGATGAGGCACAGCGCACGTACGGTGTGTTGAAGATGGCCAAGGTAGTAGAATCCAGAGGGAGGTAGGGTTGTCACCTGAGAAAACATAAATGAAGTAACGTTTGGGGAAAGTAGGGAAAACCTGGCTCCAAAAAGAAATTAATTTTTCAGAACAGACAACAGGAAATTTACACTAAAACAAGGAAGCAGCACACAGTGAATGCTCTTATTACCTGGAAAAAAAAGATAACATAGCATCTATCTACTCCAGTTCCCATACAGCTTGTATTTTTGATGGACACTACTCAAATGCTATCCTATATTAACCACTATGTGTGATAGAAGTCACAAGCTTAAGGCTGCCTCGTCTATCAAACACATGTTGTAGTCAGATTTGTTTACAGAAGCTAAACATTAGAAATGTGACCACTTTTTAACAAGAGCCTACTTAGCCACTTTAATATATATTTCTGCCAATAGCTTTAGGAAAGTAATTAATTTTTGCCTCAATATTGCACTGTGGTTTCTAAACTTTGCTTCTCCCCTTTTCCTCAGTACTGGTCCTTGTAGCTGCAATGAGTGAAATAGCCTCTTGGCAAAATAATCCTGGTTCCTGCAGGGAAATGCTGAACAAAACTTACAGACTGCCTCTTGGTAATGAATGCTAGACTTGAAACAATTCAAATACATCTGATTTCTATAAAGTACTGTTCCTCTATTCTCTAAAAGTTAATGGAAATTCTTCACGTCTTAGAGATCTTTTATACTATGCAACACTCCATGTTGGTCTTAAAATTGTCTTAAGAGGATAGGTTCTAGGAACAGAATAGGTTCTATGCATTTGTAAATCATAGCTCTGCACTTTTGTACGTATTTATTGCACAACCTTCAAGCTCTGCATTTGCCATCAGCTATCTGAACACCTTCTATACCTTCTAGCGCAGAGGGAAATAAGAAGAAAAGGACAGATTTGTCGCCAAGGCACTGAAATTGGACTCATGAGACTTGGGGTTCAATTTCTGGTTCAAGCGTAGGCTTTTTGGGTCTGACAAGTCCTGCTGGACCTCAGTTCCTTGTCTTTAATGTGGAGGGCATGATGTCTTCCCACTCCACTATTTATAGTGTTTTATTCTGGACTCCATTTGTATGCAGCATTGGAGATCACATTGTTACAGACTTTAATGCTGCTATTTAATTCACAGGTTTCTTCTTGATGCTGTGTTTGTGGACACTGTAGATGCCATTTGGCATGAGTGTGGGAGGTCCCAGGGCAGCACTAATGGGAGGAAAATGCTTTGCACCTTCATGTCCCTGGTCAAACTCAGATGCATGTCAGCAGGGATCAGAGGGGACAACTACTCACTGGAGCATCAGATCTCAAACCTGATGCTCTCAAATGCCCATGTTATCAGTTAGGCAGTAGAAGAGCTCAAGAGTGAAGCGAGTGAAGGAATTTGCTCATTTCTCACCTCTTTGCTATTTTGCCTCTGCAAACAGCAAAGAAATATACTTCTAAGACTTTAAAAGTACAAACTATTCCTTCCATTTTTTTCCTGACAAATTCGTTCCTGAGTTTTGTAGATGAAGATGTCATTGGTAGCACAATAGACTGCAGTGCTGAAAGTTGGAAAAACTTGTGAGCTTAGCGCAGCATTTTAGTGATACTCTGTCTCAAAGTCTCAGCTCAAGAGGGTTTGATAGAGGTATCATTTTGCCCGGACTAGTTTATTCCCAGATCATGGCAGCCATGTATTGACTTGTTCCTCCTCCTTTTCAAATTATTGCATGTTTAGATTCTGTATATTTTTGTTATCCCTCAAGAGCACTGTCTGTATGTAGTCCAAGTAGACAGACTGCAGATAAATCACTTGATAAATACCACTAAAGAAAACAGTTCAGCAAGAAGCTACTGCTTCGGAGGTTTTCCCAGTTGGAGAAGAAAGCTTACTGGTCACATTAGCAAACTGTTTGTTGTTCTTTATATTTAGATAGTCAAGACTATTACATTCTCCTTATGTTATTTGGGCAATTTCTTCCTGCAGCAACTGAAACTTTCTAAGATCCTTTGAAGACAAACCTAGTAGGAGCATTACTAAAGCAAAATAACAGGTAGTTATCTTTTTCTGTCCATTTTTCACAGCCTGCTTTGGCTTTTTCAGCCTTGGAAATAAGGGTCTAATTTACCACAAACATTAGGCAGTCTCATTTAGAAATAATAGCTGCAGGAAGAGAATGAGTCCAGTAGAAGCTGACACATCTTTCCGTTACCTGTGGGTTTGAATGGACAGGAAAATGTCAGAAATGCTGAAATGACATTTTGAGTGGGACACAATAATTTTTTCCCTTTGCCTTTGATGGTATCCAGCCAACTAACTCCAGATGCCAGACAGAATGTATCCCATTTCTAAATTAGATTTTTAGATACTCCTGCTATACTGTAACAAAAGCCTGAACAACTTTTAAAACCACTAGAAATTTATTACTGGTACAACCTAGGAGCCCATTGTGTGGGATGCTGTACCAACACAAGACAAACGGGTTCTTGAATTGCCATTGCACATTTTATCCAACTTAACTATCACTTTCCTCAACTCTCTTTAATGTCGATTCCTTCAGACATACCACTTGCTGTCAAATTCCTTTTCACTTTATGTTAAAAAATAGGGAAAAAATCCCATGGGGCACATTTTGCTTATTTTGTTACCCTACTACACATGTTTGCACAAGAAATAATACATCTGCTGGCACAAACACTCCAGCTGAGACAGACAGTTGTGTTGGGTCCTGCGATGGCTGGGGTACCCCGGGCCACCGCTGCAGCTGCAGGTATTTTTGAACGATACCACATTGCAGGTTTAGCTTGGTAGGACAAGTCGCTGCCAGAGAAAGCACATGCAAATGTTAATGCAAAGACTGGAGAGATGACTTGATGTCATGACAAATGAGATGCTGTCAATGCAAGAATGGAGGATTAAAGCGTGAATGATATTTTTTGTATTAAATTAAATACCCTTGTGCGGAATTAATTAGCATGACAAACGCTAACCCCATGTGTACTTCCATGGGTGATTGAGAAGCTGTGTTTGTCTCTGAAGTCCCCCAGCCCAGCCCAGTGCTGGTGCTAAGCCACAGACTGGCAAGTCACAGGGTGGCATCGACTGGAAGAACGCAAACATGACCCTTGCAGGTAAGAGCTGTTCACTGATAGATCTCTTCCCTGGCTCTTGCGTTCGTGCTGTGATTACCTGATATCTTGTGGGCTTGTTATAAGCATTCTTCCCAGAAAAATTTTCTGTATTTCGAGTGCTAGAGTGAAAACGAACTTTCTGAAATTATAAAACATCATGATATAATTAAATCAATGACAGCTTCTCGTACCCAGACAGACCCAAACTAAACAGAGCTTTATAAAAACAGTAGGAAATGGTTCAATGTATAATTAGAATAAAAGCCAGCACTTTCAGGTCTAAAAAAGTAAACTTTTGAAAGACAAAACCCACAAATTACTGAAAAAAAATATTGGATTCTAAATTGTCTAGACAAAAATGGTATTCTTACACAAGTTTTAGACAAAAAGATGTTAAAATGCACAGAATATGTTAATCTAAAATAGGTTGGTGATTATCATTTTATAACAATTTAAGAAAGGAGGAAAAAGAAATACTTATGTTTAAAGAGAACAAATTGCTGTGGTACAAAAACAAATTCTGAAACAGAGTTGATTTTCCTTGGTCCTTTTAAAACAGCAGTACCATTTGTTACTTTTTTAGCTCAGCAAAAATATACAATTTTTTTAGATAGAGCAATTTTTTTTATCAGAAGACATCACAGCTACTAATTTTGTACTCTAGAAACTTCCAAGGATTTTTCTGAAGACCACACACAATATTTGTAACAGATTTCTTTAACTCCATTATCCGCTTCTGAACTACTTTGGTTCAAGCGGTAATGAAAAATACCACTTATTCAAAGGAATTAATTCAAATCATAGACCGAAAGGAGCCAATATATATCATAGGCCTCTGAACCTATATGCAAGTGTATGTACAGGGAAAGCCCTGGTTAAGGATTTTTCTTCCCTGACTGGGTCAGAGATCCTCAGAAACAGGTGATTTTTTTTTTTGTTATTATTTTTTTAAAATCCGGAGGCTGATAATCATTGGACTAAAAGTCTGAAATAATCCTGTAATTATTTTTTATTTCTTACTCATCAGGTGTGCCATGGTCTTACAGAGACTGTTTTGATGATCTGTGAACAAAATCAACAGGCAAGAAAGAAATGACTGATACTCTTATTTGTTTATATCAAAGCCGTGGAAACTATGAATTTTGCGTGAGTTCCATGAAAAAGGGCAAGCCAGACACTTTCACTCATGTGGTTTGGGGAAGGAGGGGCTTCGAGAAGATTTTATTACTTTAGTTTATGCTTTGAAACAGAAATTAAATTGCAAACAAAGCAAGCTTCATGTTGTTAGGTTCAAATAATATTTTAAAAATATTATCTCTTTTAATCATTATTTGAGATAGTTAAAGGACAAACATTTCTTTTATTTCAAGACTCCACTGTTCTAGTGGGTCTTTCAGCAATCAATAGTAGTGTTAAACAAATTTATAGAGTAAAGTGCTCCCAAATGCTTGTCTATCTTGGCAATACTCACTGTGTTGGTTAGCTAAATTAATTGATAACATGGAGTAGACCTCGTAGATATACTTCTCCCTTCAATTTAGGTTCTGGCAGAGACTGAATGAACATCAGACCTGAGCAGTTCTCTTAAATTCATGGGAGCATGATCTCCTTCAAGGCCATGGGCTTTGCCTGGAGCCAGATTGTTCACCGTGAGTTGTATTGCTCAGCTGTTTGCTCCTTCAAGGAGAGCCAAGAGATCCAGACAAAGCCCAAAAGCAGATTGCACATTACAAAGGCAAACCCTTCAAAGTCTCCTCCAACCTTCCTTTCCTTCTCCTCGGTGTCTCTTATTACACCTCTTCCCTTTTGCAAGCTTAAAACTAGTGGCTGGCTGCCCACACGTCAATCAGGGAGTCCCCATGTCACCCACTTCTTCCCTCTCCTGTGCAGTGCCACACAGCTGGGGTTTTAAAACCTGGATGGATGGGTCTGAGAGCAGGCTGAGGGAATAGCACCTAGAAAGGCTGGCCAGCCTGCCAAGAAGCCGCACTGACCTCTCACATGCAGTGGCTGTAAGAAATAAGAGACAACACATTTCAGAGGGCTTGTCTTTTCCCCCAGGAGTGGGTTCCCAGTGTTGTTCTCTTCTTTCAAACCCAACTTGAGCTGAGAAAATTAAATAAATGCCAGGACACATAAGCAAAACTGCCTCCTTGCATCTTTGAATCCACTGAATTTGATGACAGCAGCTGAGCAGCTGCGGCTGAGTTCCTGTGAATGTTTTGGGTGTTTTCTTCTCCAATGTAAAGCAGGTGGGCTTGCCCTGTGAGTGGAATTGTGTTTGTTATAAATTTATGTGCTAGGAACGCTTCATCCCAGTGATGCTCTGCACTGTGTTGCAGATAGTAATTTCCATGGGCAACATCATTTTCTCTAATTTCTCTGGCATTTTCCCATGGGGGAACAAAGCTAATTCTGTGGGAAGGGTCTGGATGCTAATACTCTTTCATCTCTCTTGCTTTGTCATGTGGACACTCACTAGCGCTAAGGAAAGCGTGCCGCTCTGTAGCCGGTATTTGCAAAGCAAATTTCTACTTCAAATGACCAAAGGGGCGGTGGCTGAGGCAGGATCTACCCATTAGTGGCTATGCATCACCAGGCAGATGTAAGTGGAGAGGTTGATAATTATAACTTTAGGTATCTGGGAGGTGTTATTAAGCACTGCTTGGAAACTTGTTCCAAAACCTGGTATGGCAGTAAATGTTGTAATGATAGTAAAGTTAATTTGGAAATAACTTAAAAGAAGGTGGGTGTTGTGAAAAAGCATAAAGGCCTGCTGGGTAGATGAGGAGTCAGACAAGCTGGGATCCTGTTTGCATCTCTACGTCTGCCCTCTGTCTCAGACCTTGCTTATTTGACCTTGGGAAACTCTTATAAAAGTGCCTGCTGCTATAAAAGTTGCTCTTTTCCTGGTAGCCAGACAGTGCCTAGTATAATGAGGCTACAAATTTGGGAGGACCCTTTAGGTGCAATGTAATACAAGTAACATGCAATGATGAGGCTGAGTAAGAGGCTGTGATGTCCCTGACCTACCCATGTACCATGCAAACCCCTCCAGAATGTTCTTGGCGTGAATCCTTTCTACAAAGGTGAAAAGTGAAGATACAACATACCCGTTGTTTGGAATTCAGCATCCCCATCTCAAGATCATTTTCACAGTTTTTGGCCTTAGATTTGCAGAGTTTTATGAGGCACATTTTTATTCTCAGTATGAGATAATAAAATGATTTAGGGCTTGGCACTAGATTAAAAGGAGCAGGTAAAGTCCTTCCTTCGTCAAAGTAGGATAGCCAGAGCTTGGCACGTGCAAACTTCCATTCCACATCTGCATCCTCCTTGGGAAGGGAAGAGAAAAAAAAAACAACAACCACCTGAATGCATAATTAGTAAATAGGAAGGAATTTAGTTATGAGAAGGACAAACATACATGTAGGATTTAACTAGAATTGGATTTGTATTTGCCAAACCAAGACCCCTGCACACAACATGTCTTTGTAGGCTTCTCTGTGGTAATCTCAAAACAAGAAAAATTTGAATAAAGCAATGGATAAACAGAAAGTATAAATCCTCCAAATACTAGACTATTTCCTATTTCCTTGGATATCAAAGGAGTTGTCTTCCAGTAACAATCTGGTGCTTGTGCTATACTGATAAAAGACTGTATGAGAACATATGCAGAGTCATGGAAAGCGGAAGAAACTGTTATGTGCACAACAACAGCAAAGACTGTCTGTGATTAACTGCAATGCTATCTAACTGCCAGCTAACTGTTATCACTGCCTTTGCCAGGAATCCCCCACAGAAGAGGCTAGGTGGCTGATTTCTTCTATCATTAACTGATTTCCTCATGGATCCTGTTTGCATTCACCATCACATATCCCTAGATCAATACACCTTAATTCTCTTACTGTTCACCTCACTGGATGAAGGTGGAGAAAAAGTCCATCACTCAGTGCCTGTGAATCTCCTTTGTGAACTGTCAAGGTGGGCCAGGATCACTTCCAAGTACAAGGTAAGGTTAGCACATCCTTTATGGACCTGCTTGGCATTTGTTCAAGAGGATGGCCAAGGCCATGTATAAGGATCATTTATCAGGTAAAAGAAAGGATGAGATACAGCTGCTCTACAGCTGTTTGCATTGTGGTTTGTATGGAGGCCAGCAGCATCAATAGAAGCATGGGTCTGCCAACACCTCGTACTCATGTACATCTGTGTTCTGCTGAAATAAATAACCTCTGATTACCCCATACCTCTGAAACCCAGTCAAAAACTGGCATAACACAATTGAGATTAATTCTGTCACAGTTACAGCAATATGTCTTTGTCAATGGAGCAGCATTCACTTCTGCCATTTGGTCTTCTCATTGTTTGGGGTTGCACCTCACAGAAGCCTTAAGCTGAATTACAGCAAAAATCACTTGTGAACAGTTTTAACGTTTTTCTGTTAAGCAGTTAAGAAGCTACTGATGCAAGTAGTTCTGGTTTCTGGCTGGCAAAAGGACTTTTTCTTTCTATAAATGCAAAGTTTGCAGGAAGCAGTAATACTTGAGGCATAAACAGAAGAAAAACAGAAGTAGCTGAAGAGAGATGTTCAATGGAAAGCATGAGAATATGGTCTTGTCACTCCAGCTAACAGTAAAACATATCTACACTGGCCATGATGGAATTTAACTCCTAAGAAATGACCATCTTTTGTGGTTATTGACATTGCTGTTGTCAGAGAAACACATTGGCAAAAAGGACTTTCTCTGCCATCAGCAGGATTGCTGTCTTTAATCTGCCTGCTACTGAGGACTGAAAGGAACGAGTATGAGATTTACTGGTTTGTCCCAGTCCTCGGGCAGGAGTATCTGGGCCAAATAGCTCACACTTGTTTTGCTTGCTCATAGTTACAAGTAGTCTTTAACAAATTTTTGAAAATTTCCTCACAATCAAGAAGGATGATAAAGCGTTTTTCCAGGAAAAACATCATCACGAAGTTTAGACTAGAGAGTTAATATAGGCCACCTGCTCAGGTATTTTTAGAGATTTTTCTTTGGGAACTTTCAAGAGCTCCTCTACCTACTACAATAAGCTAGAAAATGCAGTAAGAGGCTGAGACCCCTTCAGAAGTAAATCCTGTTTCAGTAGAAGAAGATTCAGGAAGATGCTTGATCTCAAGTGATTAGAAACCTTTGGGGAAATGACTGTGCCTTCTGCACACAGGAAAGCTGCTGGGGCAGAGAACATATGTAAGGTCTCTCTGACATTTAGACTTGGTCACAGCATGCGCAAGAGAGAGTTACATTTGCACTACAGTACATGGATGAATCAGATACTACAGTGAGAAAATATTTCCAGCTATGGTCTTTTGCATTGTCAGCTTCTGAGGGGAGATTAGAACAAAGAAATGATACAAACCCAACTACAGAAACTTGACGTTTAACTAATCAGAAAAAAAGAGGTGACTCAGCATTAACATTACCCAAACATTTTTTTTTCCTGCTTTTATTTACATTAGCAGGAAGTTGTTGATGTCCAAAGCATTTAGCAAATCCAGTCTGCTGATAGCAGTACTCCTGAACAAGGTTGGGTAAACGCTGCAATTGCCTTTCTGCAGAAACCTATTCATATTCCTTGAAGGCCGTGTTCATATCCTTTAAGAGTTGCTTTTTGTCAATGTCCATGTAGTTATGTTTTACAGACCTAGACACTTCTCAAAAAAAATCTGTATCAAGGTCATATGCCTGGTATTGGGAAAATACGGATTTTTGAAATAGACATACATGAGTTTTAGACCTAGATGGGCTTCAGCATTTAACCGGTAGAGGACAGGGCAAGAAGCCAGATGAAATATTACACAATTTGTCATAAGCAAACAATGCAGCTAAGGTAACACACATGGATAAATTATCATAACCAACACAGGGTGTAAAAAAATATCACAAATTGCTTTCATTAAATACATGTAAAGGAAATTGGGTTTACTCACAGACGGTCGTTAAAAACAAGGAAGCTGATGTTGTTCTAGAAATGATTCATTGTTAATTATTAATTCAATCCTAATTTGTGGAGGACAGACACAACCTTACCTCTTACAAAGTGCAAGATCTGTGTTTCAACAGCACTCTAATCTTGCATATGGAATAAACTACAGCTTCCTTGTTTTTTTGACATTTTCATTATCAGTGATAATTAAGTACATTGAGTTTGTAATCTAATTTCTTATCTTACCTCAATTTCCTGATAGGAGTTGTTGATCATGGCTATTAGCATATTAAGCAGCACCACCACCATAGTCACGTTATATACTCCATAGAGTACATATCCAATGTTCTCAATGAATTTGTGATCGTACTTCAGCACCACAGATATCACTTCAGATAAGCCAAATATTGACCAGAATAAGGTTTTAAAACTTTCTTCTACCCTAAAAATAAAGCAAACAATCACTTTATAGAGTTGACACCAGGTTAACCAGGCCAAATGCTAACAACAAAAGTGGCAATCCACCAATATAAACATGATGTCTTGGCACAGTCATCATAAGCCATTATCCATCACCGAGGGATGTGGCAAATCGTATTTCCTGATTTGATAAAGAAATATGATTTCTGATTAATACGATAAAGTTACAGTGTCGCCTTATTTGCTCCATCTGTTCTTCTCAGGTGCATTATTTGCCACTTGGATTTTGTGTCCCTATTAAGGACTTCTCCATGGGCAACTTGCAGTTTGAAACTTTCTTGTGCAGGGCTTTTAAATTCTGCTCACTCTCCCTTTTCTCATCCAGAGAAGACAGGCAGAGATCATGTGGGAAAGGGAAGAAGCAGCCTAGTTTGACCTCCTTCTATGTGGTTTCCAGGACAGCAGAGAAGCATTACTTTTTACCCAAGAGAAGTGACCGAAAAGTTCTGTTTAGTGGCACTAATATAATGAGCACAGAGTGTAAATATAGCCAGCCCATAGTCTGATTTTATTCCCATCCTGCTTTGGGACTGCAAACAGGTCAGACACTCAAGCATTTGTAGCAAAAATTTGAAACTAAGGAGTAGTAGAAGATGTTGCAGAGAGGCATTTTGATTTGATTATTACCCTTGCTTGAAAGTAGAAAGGAACCAGAGGAAAATAAAAAGGTTGAAAAACAGGAAAATAAAGACGGGAATAAGCCAACAACAAAGGTCAAAAGGAGAGACTGATGCAGAGGAGTCAAAGCTGGAACAGGCAGAAAGAGAGTAGCCACAGCTGAAAAGGAAGGAAGGAAGAGGAGGGATGCTGGTACATTTTGGAAGTAGTTTGCTTAATTTTTAATTTAGAAACAATTTTGCCTTCACTGAACAGTCCTTAGCATGTTAACGGTTAATTACCTCCCCTCTCCCCCGCCTACCAGGAGATAAATGTCTCATAAGAAAACAATGCCATTTACAAATTATTTTGATGAAATGTTTTTTACTATAGCGGCAGCCCAATCCTCCTAAATCTGTTCATAAAACCACATGATAGACACAAACTACAAGATATCCTAAGGGAATAATAAGCTTTACATCAACTCCAGTATCAATTACACCATGTATAAAAGCAAGATAAATTAATTTCAACCCTTTGAAGGGCTAGGGCAGAGCACTGGACAATTCCTTTCTGCCACAGCAAACTGGTATTTATCTCCCATCATAACTTATGGTATTCCATATTCCATTTACAAGTAGTTGTAAGACTGCAGTAAATATTTAAGTTTTATTTTCAGCCAGTATAACTGCATTGACTTGTGGGGAGTAACCCTGAGTGGCATTTTAAATAGATGTTGCACAACTTTGTTTAAAACGTGTCTTTCTATTGAGTCTCCGTGATACTCAGAGTCACTGATACCATGTCCACTCCCCCTTGCTGCTTTGCAGGAGGCTTGGACACCATGCAAAGAGACCCTTGTGGGATGAGCTGTGTGCTGCAAACAAGTGCCATCACTTTTCCACTTGCTGGACATTTCCTCTCCTGTAACACTCTGCTCTTGTCTCCTGCCCTCACCTGCAGGAAAGGGGAGCTGGCATTAGTGTGTCAGATACCCTTAATTTTTAGGTGGCAATCTGGCCAGTGCTTATTCTATAAATGTTGTGCTTTCCAGTTAAAGAACACATATAACACCAAAAATCTCTGGCTTTGAAATCCACCACCTAAGTCACTTATCAAACTAATAAAAACCATAACCCCCAGCCTTGATCTCAGCAGCACCCTGCTATTAACCTTCCTTTTTTAATTTGGAAAGGTTCCCTTAGTTTTCCACCCTGCCGGCAGATTTTAATACAACGTGTCAACTCTGCTCCTTTTCTGCAGCTTTAAGCATTAACCTTTGTTCTGGAGTAGTGCCAAATTTTCCCTGAAAAGTTAATTAAGGACTGCGAGCAGCCTTGAGTGTCCTGAGCACTGCGGAGGAGGCAGGCAAGGGCCAGGGTGCCAGCCTCCAGTGCAAATGTCCATAGCCCTTATTCCCAGGTAAGGGACCAGTGCCCAAGGTGGTGGGACTGGGAAGGTGGTGCAAGAGCTGGACCTGACCTGTAGCACCCCAAAACGGTGCTTAGCAATGCCCCCAGGAACTGGGGAAATATTTCTAAGGAGACCTTGTACTACTCCATCCCTATCCTCCAAAAAGGCTGGATGGCTCTTTCCTTCTCCCTTTTAGATTACTGCCAAATTGCACAGGATTTGGCACAGGTCACAGGGAAGATTGGGTTTTTTTTTTTTTTTTGAGAAGTCTCACTAAAACAGGAGACGAGGATGTTTGGAGCCAAGTTCTCAAAGATTCCAAGATGCTGATGTGTCTCATTGTTGCCAGCAAAGCAATTTACCCCCTTCCTGCAAGGTCAGCGGGTGTTTTATCCTTCTCAAAGGCAGACAAATGAAGGAACGGAGGAAGTCAGGAGTCCTGCCCAGACCGACAGCTCCTGGCAGCAGGAGGATCTGGCAGTGGCAGATTGACTGATGCTCCTTGTGGAGATGGGTACGCTTCAATCTCGCTCTCTACTGGGGTAGAGCCAACTGTTGCAGTGGGGAGAGAGCAGAGATATTTTTTTGTTTTTGTTTCAAGACACATAGTCCTGTAAAAGTTAAACAAAGAATTTGCATCAAAGAAGAAAACAGATGATAGGCAATCATCTAGTTGCAGATTTTCCTCGCTTTTCTAAACAGCAGTGTGCCATTCATCAAAAAAGATCACGGCAAGGCTATGATTTCATGTCAATCTTGTGTCCTCTGCTTTAAGAAAGCTTAAGGCACCCTTTCAGACTTATTTCCTTAAATTGATTCGTTGAGATTTAACACTGCCGAAAAAGCAATGCAGTCAATATAATCTACAAAAATAACACATTTTGACAAGGGAAAATGAGAAGCAAAAAGCCTTCAAGCCTCGAAGTAACATTGGCACTGAGCAGTGAGTCACATTTCCCTTTGGGGAGAGGGAGACAGAAAACCTCGCGTTGTAGCCTTCAGCCTGATTTGTGGTGTGGAAAGCAAGACGAACGCAATCAGTCTTGCCTCCATTTCGATTTTGTTTGCATAGCATGTTCTTAATTACAGGCTGTTTCAAGAGCTGTATTCTGTACACAGCATACAATAAACAGATAAACATAGCTGGGGTCGGTTGCAACTGTCATGGAAATGGTCTACTTTTCAGCACTGAAGGACTTAAAATTTTTTTTGACAATATACCATGGTTAGTTAAATAATCTCTGTATTTAACTGTGTGAAGTCCACTATGTCTTTATCTCCTTGGCATCCAGAACATTAAAATGGAAGAAACAACAGAAACTTGGCCTGATAACTCAGTTCAGAGGCCACTGGGGTGCTACGTGCTTGCTCTGTAAATGGCAACACAAGAAAAACGAGCCTGTGATTTCAAAAGCGCAATAGCAGGGGAAGCTGAAAGCTAAGTTACACCAAACATTCACTGATTATTATCATTAGAGCTAAGAAAGCAATTCCAGCTGAGTGTTATCTGGACAAAAGTACACTCTTTTTTCTACCTATGTACTGTCCTGGGAAGCTGTGGTTTTCTTAAATGCCGAGTTTGAAGTTATTTCGGTGAGTAGCTATATGTCTAAGGTTTCTCAGTAAGGCTACCCAGTGAGCTGACAGTCCAATGCCCTTTGAAACCGGCCACAATCAATTAGTGCACAAATCCAACAGGTCTTTTTCTGTCGTGATTAGCCAAATGATCTCTGAGAATCAGATCCCATAGTTGAATAGTCACATTTCTGAGTATAAAACTTACTTTCTGTAAAATTTCACCCATCCTCGTTAGAATTCACAAGCATAACCCACCATGAAGTGCATTCAGTGACGTCTCTGAAGTCACAGAACGGTTATGCGGACAGCAAAGTAAATGTTTATCTTCTTTGCCCCAGTGAATTTTCAGTGAATGAACAGTTGAGTTCCTTATTCAGCTCTAACACTGAAATCTTCCTTCTTTTAATGAAAACATTAGCGGCAGCAGGAGCCCACCACCTTCAGCAAGGCCCACAGGCAACTCACAAAAAACAGAGAAGGAAACATTGCTGGAGCTGGTAGCTGCCCATCTGCCAATGTAACCTTGTCATTAGCTTATTAAAATTGTTTGAGACTGTATACCTCAGGGTTTCTGGCTTGTTGAAAGAGATGTCTGAGAAGAATTTTCGGGATGAATGTTAATCTGTTCTCTTTGTTTCATAAGATGAAAGCGCTCACTTTCACTGATCATCATTTGACACTCCTGTGTTTTTAAATAATCAGAAGAAAATAACTCTACTTTAAATCTCTTCTAAACTCTCAAAAGGAAAATTTATACTCATGGAAATTTTGCTTCATAACAACAGGAAGTCCCTCCAGGATAAGTAGTCACCAGGCTGAAGTTAAGGAGGAAGAGCACTGCCTTTTGACAAGACTCTCCCCAATCCAAACAGCCTTCAGGCATTTAAGCAATCTTTACTCCAATGAGCAGTCGTCATTTGAGTTAATATTTCCTTATTATTTCCATCAAAACATAGTAACTACTGGACGATCCACTTAGGTGATGAGTGCTAATGAGAGAGTTACTGCACAACTTTGCATCAGAGACTGGAATTTGTTGCTGATGTGCTCTAGTGATGTGCCTGGGGGATACCGTAACCGAGGGTTACTATGCCGCCAGGCAATCAAGGACGGTATTGACTCAACTTCTCATTAAGTCTTGTGCTTCAAGGGCATCTCCTTCTCTTCAAATAAGAAGCAAGTCACATCCCACACACTCAATTTTCTTCTACCTTACTACCGAGTGCAGATAAATGTAATTGCATCTGGCCTCCTAAATCCTTCCATTAAAATGTATCCTGAGGCTACAGGAGAGGCCTAGAAGGCATATTTGGCTCAATTACAGAAAGTAAACATTCTGTTACAAGATATATGTCGCACAAGAGGGTGATGTGGTAAAACTGACTCCTGTACATTTGGAAGGGATGAGCCACTTGCAGGACAGAAATGATGCTGAAAAGGTCATTTCTCCTAGAGGAGCTCCGAGCTAAGCCCCCAGCTCACCGTGTAACACGTTAGAGGAATGACACATCAAATGCCAGCTGCTGTCTGCTTTGCATCTGGTAAACGCTGTGGGCTCAGGCCTCCTTCCAGCCCAAATGATTCTATGATTACAAGCGTGGCGTGGCTGCCTAGAAGTCAGATCACAGCAAGGGGAAAACATTTTGCCAAGTTTTCCCCTTCCCTCACAGACGGGTGTGTGGGAAGGAAAGTCCCCACCATGTCCCTGAGGCAAGTCACGGTGGTTTTGTGAGACACAAAGCTGACTGCCACGGTGTTATGCTGGTGCCACATCGCAGTGCAAGGGAGGAGGCTTTCCTGTGGATATCATCCCTCTGTACTCTGCACTGGTGAGACCGCACCTCGAATGCTCTGTCCAGTTCTGGGCCCCTCACGACAAGAAAGACCTTGAGGTGCTGGAGCGAGTCCAGAGAAGGGCAATGAAGGTGGGGAAGGGTCTGGAGAACAAGGCTGATGGGGAGCGGCTGAGGGAGCTGGAGGTGTTCGGTCTGGAGAAGAGGAGGCTGAGGGGAGACCTGATCGCTCTCTACAACGACCTGAAAGGAGGGTGTAGTGAAGCTGCAGTTGGCCTCGTCTCCTAGGTAACTTGTGACAGGACGAGGGGGCATAGTCTGAAATTGCGCCAGGGGAAGTTCAGGCTAGAAATGAGGAGGCATTTCTTCACAGAACGGGTCGTTAGGCATTGGAATGGGCTGCCCAGGGAGATGGTGGAGTCCCCATCCCTGGAGGTGTTTTAGAAAAGACTGGATGTGGCACTTAGTGCAATGGTCTAGTTGGCACGGTGGTGTTAGGGCAAAGGTTGGACTCAATGATCCCAGAGGTCTCTTCCAACCAAATCAATTCTGTGATTCTGCATGGGACACATCTCAGACACAGCAGGGCACCAGGCTATCCTCTCCTCTGTAAGCTCCTTCAGGACCTCAGCTGTCCTCCATGGGGCTGGGACTTGGATTCCCAGGGTCCTGGAGAATCAATATTGCATTTTGTCCTACCTCTGAAGAGTTGTAGGCTCTCCCCTTTCAAAAGCATCCTCATTCTGAACCTCACTCCAGAAACATTTTGCCAACCTCTTTCTCTTCCCAACATCCCTGACAAGGTGGAGGTAGGACGTCCAACATGGCCACCTCCACAGGGCTCTGCAGCCACCCAGTGAGCACTGGTGGGTGAGTGTGACCCAGACAGACCCACTGCCCTGCGTGGCCAGTGATGCATGATGACTAGCAGCTGGCTCTGCAGAAGTGTACCTAATAATAACAGGGGCGCTCAGGTGGTATCCTAAAACAGATCTCAGATTAGCAAAATTCTCCCTTATTTTACATACATTTCAGCTTGCAATTTTAAGAATAATCTTAGGTCTAACCACTTCTCCACTGTTTCTCTTGGCTTACTATGCTGAACATCTCACAAAACATTTTCCCGATCTGTTATTTTGATTTCCAGAAATAACCGTTTCTGAACTACACATCTCCCTACTCTCAGGCCTTGAGCTGGCTGCCAGAGCTGGAGGCTCTGGTACAAGTTTCCCTGGCAAAATCTGGGTGTGACTTCCCCACATAGCTGTAGTAGAAACTATCTGAGTGGACCTTGAAGCAGCAATGGACCAGAAAGAACTGAGCCCTGCAAGAGCAGCCGCTTTTCCATAGGTACTCACGTTGTAAACGCGGGGTTGTATTTTGCACCAAGGTAGTAAGAGTAAAGGTTGAACATTCCAATCATGAATGCCAGGAACACCATGATGAAGATGACCATGAACTTGAAGATATCCTTCACAGTCCTCCCCAAAGAGATCTGCAGGGGGCCGAAGCTTTCGTTGGCTGGAAGAATGTAAGCAATGCGGGAGAAGCTGAGTACCACAGCTATTGCATACAGTCCTTCTGAAATGATCTGAGGATCCGAGGGAAGCCACTTGTTCCTGGCTAAAACAATACATGTACACTGGGTATTAGTAACAAAAAGTGTTAGATGGAAGCTATTATGATAAAAGACCCTTTTCCAAGACTGAATCTTGGGTTTTGGCCAGGAGTTAAAGAAAAAACAATTTTGGAACAACTGGTCACTGAAGTCCTTGGCATGCTGTATAAATATGGATGAGAAGAATTAGTTGTATTTTTCATATGGTAAAGATGAGAAATGAGCAAGTCACTGGGATTTATCAAAATCACATAGCAGATAAAGAGCATGGCTTTAAACAAATTTGGTATTTTCTGTTTCCTAGTTGAAAAACAGATGTGCTCTGCCTTTTCCATCTGAAGCTCTTGAGATGGAGGACCAAAACCACAACACAGTGGACTTTGGCTATACATTTGGCAACATGGCACTATGGCAATATTTGGAAGGAAGCGTTAGGGAGACTGAGATCTCTACCTATCATTAGATAAGAAAGTTAGGATTTGTTTGGATAAAGCAGATATAACCATCAAGTGTATAATTTTCGTGTTATCTTTACCGATTCTTGCACTTCGGTCACTCTAATATTTTTACTTTAAAAAGCTTCTTGTTGATGCTAGATGCGCATCATTTATTTAATCTACTGAAAATTTGAACATTTATATTAATATAGCTTATGAGTGTTCTTGCATCAACTGAGCTTCTTGATGAAAAGATTGTGACACAGAGCTAAAACCTGTGACATCTTTAAGGCCACAGCAGTAAATTTAGGCATTATTTGCAGTAACCTAAACCAAAAAAAGCAGCAGATGGAGGAAATCACAGAATCTGATTGTGACCTTCTGTTCTGGAGCCTTTGCACCTTTGCATCATGAACGCACTTTAAATGGGCCAGCAGCAAACCAGAGATAGAAAAACCACAATATCATCTCAGCGGCCTCTTGCTTGCCTGAGCAGGGAGAGAGAAGTTTACCTTCCGAGGGGGGACACCAAGCAAGAGGCTGAGCCGGCGTGACCAGTTCATGGACTTGCCAGCGAGCCTGGGGCTGTGCAACCTGGTGTGGGGTCAGGGCACGTGTCTCTCGTGCTGCATGGTGCCCATCTACAGTGGATGAAGTCTGCTGCCGCAGATCTTCCTCTCCAGCCCCAGCACCTCGCTAGAGTAACTACCTTAGAACTCTAGGGAGCAAATGGTAGTCCTTTGTGCCCAGCTCTCCAGCCCCTCTGTGAGCAAAAACCCCCATGGATTTTGCTCAGAGTTACGTCTAAATCTTGCAAAGGCATGCAATGAATCCAGCCCCCACACCAGGGTGCAAAGCTCCCTTCATTTGTGAATATCAAAGAAAAACCACTTCAGCCATCAAAAATAAAGTTGTCAAGGCTATGCTACTGCTTGCATTTCCTAATATTAGCACTTACAGATGATATAGGCTGTCCAAAAATAAAGTTTTTCTCTTGGAGGAGCAGCAGCTTATGGGTGTAATTGGTGTTTGTATTTCCATTATACAGGTGTTGGGTGTAACAGAGCTGCAGAGTGCACCAAATGTTAGAAATGCAGCTCCGGAGCCTATGTTTGTTCACACATCTCCCTCCTCTCACGTTTGGAAAATGAAGCAGGTCCATTCATCCATAATTTCAATTATATTCTGCTTACTCCCAGTTCCTGATTATTTGTTGCTCAAACTATTTTGTCAGGGTGTGATTGACTTGAATGTAACCTTAGCACAAGATCAGAGATGGAACGAGGCTCAGACCTCAGTTCCTTTCTAACTGTTTAGGAAGATGGCTGGAATGGATAGATCTGAGAAGAATAATTTGATTTAATTAGAAAAAAACTACATAAATATCGGAAAAAGAAAGCTGCTCTCAGCACTGGCACACATTAGCCTAAAAGAACACGAAGCATTAGATAGCAAAAAGCATCTTACCGTAAGTAAAGTAAGCAACTTCAGGGGGAAGGGTGACATTATTGAGGTCATCATCTTGAACGTACTGATCTACGTACTGTTGTGCTTCAGTTGCTTTGAGAAAAGCCATGAACCTGGCGGTGAATGACGCCACGAAGATGGACAGCATGCCGAAGTCCAGCAGGTTCCAGAGATGCACCACGTATTCACGTGGACCCTCTTCCCAGATCTCCTTGCACTCTGACCATATCATGCCTGCAGAAAGGACAGAGCACGTTTAACTGGCAAATACAGAAAGTGTTTTCTGTATTCAGACAGATCCATTTCCTCACTAACAGTGGCTTCTAAGATGGAAGCAAACAATTCTTTAAATACACTGAATTTCTTGAGAATGGTTTGTGTCATCTTTACTTATAAATTGTTAAGTTTATAATTTCTTATACATTGTTAAAAACTTTATGTGTCCTTTTGTGCATACGAGGTAGAAATTTCAAAATTTTACTGTATGAGTCAATGGTAAAGTAGATTTCTCGTGATGTCAGAGAAAGCACTGTTCAGAAATACCGAAGATATCAGAAAATCCTACTGCTTCCATTTTGAGAATGGAAATGGATCTTTGGAGAGAAAATCAATATGATTAGAGAAAGGTAAGTTCTGCCCTTGCAGTGCTTTTTATAAGGTTTTATATATTAAATAATAAAAAATAATAATGAATTTTCATACATTAAAGTCTGATCTACCACTCTGAAAACACTGGGTAGCCTAAATTTAGATTCTTTCTGACAACAGACTTACAGATAAACCTAAATACCAAACCCAGAAAATTCAAATGTTTTGACATCCATGTTCTAATGGGGAGTGCTGGGGAGGACAGGTGAATTCAATGGGCTAACTGGAGCCAAGAGCTCAGGTCAAACTCACCAACTTGCCCAACTTTCAAACACAGCAGGGCTCCAAGGCCAAAATCTTGCTTCTGAATAGCTACAATATTTCAATATTTAACCCACTGATAAATATTTCCTGCGCTCTACCCAATCCTGTTTCCATAGCAGCAGCAGAAATCACGTTTAATCAAGCAGAAGCAGTGCCTGCCAATTTCCATGTGGCCTCCTGCAACCTTGTCCTTTTTGTGAACTCTTCTTCATCCTCTTTGCTGGAAGCTCTCGTGGTGTGGCATGCAAATGCATTTGCTTGGCTACTTCAGAGACTCCTGGAAGCACATGGTGTCCCAAGAGGCACAGTCGAAGGCTGGGTTATAGGGAAGGAAGCAAGTCAGTGTGAATCTAGCCGGAGGGCAGAGGAACGAAGAACTGTCACTGTCAGTCCTTGTGCACGGAGAAGGATTTGAGAGAAAAAGGAAAGCTAAGCTATCAATACCAGTTGGCCAAGGCACAGCTAGCCTGTGACCTCCATAGCCCTGGAATCTCCAGGCAGATCCTTGGAGATGCACTCTGATATAGCTTATACCCCGTATAGATCTGTCTTGGGAGAGAGGCTCAGGTCTACTGAGAACTGAGCAGAGCCAACGGGAGGGCAGGAGAGGACCCTCCCGGCTCTTCTCCTCCAGTCTGCAGGTGCTTGGCTGAGTAAAAGCAGGAACTTCATCCCAAGCTGTCATTCACCTTGAGTAGGATTTAATAATAGATATCCTAGGGAAGAAGGTGGAAGAATTGGTTTCTCAGGAACCGTCAACCCCTGAAGCAAGGATGAAATATTAAAGAGACATTTCTAGCTCAAAAAAAAAGTATCCCAGAAGTGATAGGTAGGAGACATTAGCCCTACACATTATGCATGCGTGTCATATAAAGGTAGTAAAGCATTTCAGGAAATATCACATACGTGGTAACATTGCCCACCAAAGCACTTGCTCACTGATGCCCAGAAATGTCTTTTCTAGTTTAAATATTAACTCTCCCATCCAAATTTATTTCTAATCTTGATCACTTAATATACCTAAGTCACAGATTAATGAAGTAAGAAATGTCTAAAACTGAGTAGACTGACTAAAATTAGAATCACTCTGTGAAAGTATCACACTATTGGCCTATAATTTACATCATCCTTTTTGCTAACTGAATGGCAATCATTTTTTTATCCATACATATGGAAAAATGTCTATTCAGGACAGGTAGAAGAGCTACAGTAATTATTCCGTTGGTACTGCTGGGTAATTGTATATACATTGTGAGAGAGTAATTCAAACCTTCTCCTTAAGTAAAAATACTGAGAAGAGAAAAAGCAGCTAAAATTCAGGGGATGGGATGCAAGATGGGATGTAAGACGTAAGGAGAGGCAACTAGGCAAAGCAGATTTGCCAGGATGTGATTACATTTCAATATGGTGTTTCTGAGGCCCTCAATGGCTCTGGGAGAGGTCGTTCCCCTGAGTCTGACACAAAGAGAGGTGGGATATGAGCAGCTTCTGCTCTCCAGCTTCTGCATGTCTCCTGTGCCTATTGTCCCACAGTAGGGACAATCAGAAATGTCACCTTGACGGGTATTTCTGGTTTCAGCAGGGGAAGGAGAGTCAAGCTACAGGCACAGCCCATCTGGAAGAAAAATGTGAGAAAGAAAGAAAGTGTGTGAGAAGTGCTGTTCATCATCTGTGCACAAAAAGGAGCAGTTTGTCAGATTTTTATATCCACTGGCCTGGTACATAAATCTCAAGCAGCTGATGTTGCAGAGCTGCCTTTGAGGCTTCCTGGATCTGCCAAAGGCTGTTGGATTAAGAGAGTTGTGCTCAGATTGCGTCTACCCAGAGCTTAACTGCTACCTTGGCTGCTTCTGCAGTGGGGATTTTGGTTCTCTAAATGAAACCTCTCCACTTTCAGCACACGCTTTTGTCCATATTGCTCATGAGGAAAATTCCAACCTTCCTCACTTGAAGGCAAGAGTTGGAAAGACCTGACCACAGCAGGAGAGGTAGCCAAGACATACAACAAGCCACAGACGCATGAGTCAAAATTGCCATGCCCCACGTATGCAGGGGCAAGTTCTCAGACCATTGTGGCATTTCTCTGAGCTAACAGGTTTATAATCTGCAGCCCTTGGATGCTCATTCGTAACAAAGAGAAGTGAGTAAAATGCTAACTGGTTGTTCAAGAGGATGTTAAATGGGCCGCTAACACTACCTGGCTGATCCAAGGATGATCTACAGCCATTTCAGGAGTGCAGCCTAATGGAAAATAAAGCCTCAGATACAGATTTTTAGAGGAGGATGAAGTACTTGCCTGCTGCAAGTCATTGCCTCTGCTCAGTTTACTCCATTACTTTCCTGCATTACAAATAGTTGGGAGCAGGAGATGGAAATGGCATCTTTTTGCATAATCCCAGTCTGAAATTCTCCTCCTAGTAGTTTTCTCTTAAAATAGATATACATGGATCAATTTTCGTATCTCCAGCAAGATTAATTGCAGGAACTGCTATCACAGGTTGTGCTCATTCATGGCCATGCTGTGCTATGCTAATGTATCACATTATCCTCAAATAATGCTATTCTGAACATGCATCATAATATTATGGTTGACAGCCAGATAACTCAGACAGCCAATTTTCTCCCAAAAAAGCATCAAGATCAGAGATCTGCAAACTAATTTCTCAAAAGTGGTCTGCTATGGTTGAAACAAGTAATGTGTCATTAACATTCATCATTGCTGCCATGGTATGAAGGAGAAAGGAGAAAGAACAGAAACTGAAAGAAGGGATTTACAAGCTGAGAATAAATAAAATTACACTTTTTGACTGCACTATGAATGGAAATGTAGGTAGCACACCTACACTGTTGAGTCTGAAGACAGCAACTGCAGATGTTGCCAAGTAGGATTAAATATAGCTGTGTATATTTAGTACACAAAAGTTAGATTTATTATACTTTAACATATACTTACTGTCTACTTAGATTTGCCTCTTTGGAAAAATATGCTTTGGCAACTTTACCTATGATATTTATCTATAGTATTTACTTTTATTTAATGATATTTCTACTCACATATATGTATTTATAATACCTATACGACTTTTGTGCCAAAAGGCTGGTCAGGACACCACCCTTAGTGTTTTTAGAGTCCTTAAAGTTCAGGGTCGCATATGGGGCTCAAAAGTGCCCAAACCCCTCTGCCAGCTGTCTGCAGGCACATGCACCAAACTTTCACCTTAGTATTGCTGAAACGTTATTTGAAGCTTTATGTAGGTAAACAGGTAAAATGGCCAGGGAAGATTGTCAGTGGTGATGTAGGTAGTCATTAGAAAATCTCATTATATGCAGAAGTCTGTACAATGAATCACCACTCTTCTCCCAGAAAAGTGAAAATCTTTGCTTTGAATGAAATGTTTTCTTCTTCATCTCTCAGGAACTCACCAGGCAGACAGATACCTACTGCCTGTAAGAAAAGAGTACCTGGTCTAAAATCTAATCATCTTGTCCAACTGCTTTAATATAATTTTAAAAATGTATCTTACAGACTTACTCTATCCAGTCTGGCATTTATTCAGTACTTTCTAGCTTAGTATCCTGTATGGGATTCTGATAATTTCAGGGACAGGGAACAAAGAAATGGTGACCAGGAAATCATCAGATAGAGCAGCTCTATCCTATTTTTCAGGGGAGGGGGGTTAATGCTGTCAGTACTTATGGAACAGCGGAATTATTTACTGCAAGAAAAGAATCAAAATCATGGCAGTGAGTAAAACAGATACTGAAGAAGTTCAGTGAATTATAACAGGATGTCATGGTAGGGTAATAAAACAGGCTGGTGGTCACCCATTTCCCAGTGGACACAATTTTTTGCCCACTTTAGGTAGAGCAATGTCCTATAGTGAAGCTATAAGTTTCTATGACTATATTACTTTCTTTAAGATGCAATGATTAAACTAACAGAGGCAAACAGACAACATCCATAGCAAGCACCATGGAAAGCACAAAATCAGGAAAGGGAATTTGCTAAGCATCGTTCAGTATTTTCAAAAGCAATGACCAAGATTAAAGTCATCTTTGATCCTGTTTTAATCAAAATACTGCCATCAACCTTTAATTTGGCCTCATGGTGGCTTGTTTTTTTTTTTTGGTTTGCGTTTTTTTTCCTTTGTCTTGTCATTGTCTATCATGCTACTCGTAGTCATGTTGAATTTGCCTGGAGGACTTGTAGACATTTTGGTTTTGCTTACCCAATACCCACTTCATGATCAGCAATTCTGTCCATGAGAACTGAGTTGTTTTGACTCTAAAGATTTGTTTTGGATGATCTGTGATGGTCTCATTGGGGAGATTTTTTACTCCTTCAAACCGATCTGAAGCATTCACTACTAACAGTCCAAGGAAGATCGTGAAAGAAACGGCATGTGCCACAAACTTCATGAAAGGACTTCGGAGGGTCCGTCCCAACTGCAATGAAACATACACAAGACATAAGATTATTTTTTTTCCCTTATCCACCTCCTGGAAATTTATTCCCGTAAAAGTTTGAACCATTTGCCTAAGGTGAAAAGGATTCAGAAAATAATTCTAGATCATGAACTAAACGGGGTTTAGATTTCTTCAAGTTGTTCTTTGCTATTACTAGACGTTATGCATTGCAGTTCAAATTATGCCCACTGGATAATTTTCTATGCATGGCAATATCTTATATTGCTCTTATATACCTACATACAATATCTAATTGTCTTGGCCAGATGGTAAATGGAAAATTAAGAGACAGGACATTTACATGAGACATGTTGGTGTGTATATGTGTTATACGGATGTACTCAATATAAATCCTAATGATGGGCCCACTTCTCATCCTGACATCATTGTTATATATTAAAATCTTTTATTAATGCTGAATTCTTGGTTCATTAACAATGTGTAGGAAATAGCGTTCTGTCTAAAGATTCATTTGTAATGCTCTTAATATGCTTTGGTATGATGGTTTCCTCATAATTACTACAAAAGCTGGAGATTTACTCCCCAGAACACAGGGATTTATTTCAAGACATTAAGCCAAGAATCAGAGCAGCAGATTTCTTCACTATAGCTAATATTTTTTCCATTCTTCTTGAAAAGCTTTCTTTGTTAATTAATTTAAGTAACACTCTTCATTTTACATTTTCTGTGATCTAAGAAAACATTAGTCCAGAAAGATATCAGAGTAGAAGCATTTTTAGGAGCACAAGGACTAATGCCGGCAGTGTTGGACACAATAGACAGCAATGGAAATGCTGTCCTGTATGTGCCCTTTCCAAAACCTCAAAGCAAATGATATGGGTATTTTGCAGTATCTTACTCATTGATTCATTTCCCTTGATGACAAAGTATCCACAAAATTTTCTTAATATCTTCTGACTTGATCATAAAACTTCATAGGAAAAGGACTGAAAAATGAAATTCCTTGTTTTCTTATTTATCTCCAATAGCAGCTTTGTTCAAAAGAGTCCAGCTCTCTGGTCATTGCAGAGAAGGAAATATTTTAAAAGTAGGGCTCTTTAGGTCTAGCAGAAATTTAAAGGAAGCCTTATGATTCTGGTTCTTATTTCTTTTCCTTCTCTGAATTTTTAAAATGTCAAATAAATCTTTTGTGAAGTTGACAGAATAGTAAATCCTGTTGGAAAAATTTGCATGTTTCTAAATACCAGAAAGACTTTCCAATTAAGGAAAATGAAAACAATCTCCTCTATCCCGAGCCCTTATTAACATGCTTGCTTTTTTCTGAGGTCAATAAGGTTGTGTTCAAGTGGGTAGATGTTGCACTGAATCAAATCCCAAGTTTCTTTAATCTTGTCTAGGAATGTTATGGCGGATGTAGGAGTAAATGAAGTGTGTTAAAACCAGTCTCAGCACTTGTGATGCTGGTTCACTCCTCTGCTATAAACTTTGGTGTAGTGTCAGTTCTCAACAGCTTTTATGGCTGGTGTTGGGTAGATTTATGTTTTGTAGCAGAACTTATATTTCCAGTACAGAGCTGATGGGGTGATGGGATATGTCTGAACAATGTCCTGTACAGTAATGATCTCAGATGTTTTCCTCATATGACCTGTCTGACAGAGTATAAATTGCAAAAGTAAAGTAGAACAACAGCTATGGGCATATGAAGCCTTACCAACAAACTTTTAAGAAAGTACATTTGCAATTTATACAAGACTCATTTCTACCCTGAATTCACTAAAAGAGAAAAAGCACTGTCCATTGAACCAGGAATTCTTCTAAATAATTAGACTTATTCTGCTGTCTACAAAAACTTTAAAAAAAAAGAGAGACCTGAGATTAAAATAGCACAGCCTCGGTTATCAGAGAAGTAATCCTGTGTATTATAAAACCAAATGAATTCTGTGGTAATTTCACTTAGTTCTCTACTGATTTAACAAAAGTCTGCAGTTAGTCAGTGTTACATCAGCATTTTATCCCCTTTATTACTGTGGAAAGCTTTCAATTTTTTTCTTGAGCTGATACTTTTCGTATCTTCTCAGAAATCTGATTTTTAGCTGAGAGCAGCATGAGGTGAAAGTGTTGACTATAAAATTCTGTAAAAAATTAATGAAGGATCAATTCCTCCAGTTGGCCTAATGCTTTATGAGAATAAGATATATTTTTCAAGCAACAAGATACAGTTAAACTCAAGGTGTGTAACTGCTTGGATGTATCAATTTCTCAATTACTTTTTAAAATCAAAATATCATCTTTCATCAAATCAGGATTGCAGGGAAGTGCCTGGCTGTCACTGTTAAGGGAGAAACACTGACAGTGTCTGAATACAAAGGTTCATTCTTAAAAGAATAGCTAATTTCGTGACTTAGTATCCTATCTGTATTATAGGAAAACAATGAAGCATGCAGACAAGTCAAAACAAAAATATATAAAATGTGATATCGAAACAAAGTTTTCCAAATGCGAATTAATCTCTACTCCAAGAGGCAGGAACAAATAGAGGTAGAAACATCATAAAGAAAAAAAGCCATAACTATTTTCAGTACTATGCCCATAGCAGAAGGGCGAAGAATATTGTTGCAGAAGCGTGAAGAATATTGTTGTAGAAATTTTATGTAACTTAACTGGGAAGAAAAATACCCAGAGTAAAAAGTTACAGGTACAGCTTTAGGTGGAGCGAACCATTAAAGTTCCAGTGCTGAAATGATGCTGAGTCTGTTGCAGCAGGAGCTACGGTCCATAAATCCCCATCATGCCTACATGAAAGTCAGGGAACAACCCAGGCAATGACAGCTGCGTATCAATGATCTCTGTTAGCGCTGCATTATCTGAATGTGCGCTTCAGCCATCCAGAGAAGAAAGAAAATACTTCTTGAAGTTCTACAGACAGTCCAAACAGTCCCACTGGCTCTTCTCATTATATTGTTGGGCAGCAGATTGTGCAATGTTTCCATTCTCTCTCTTATCATCTCTTTGGATCACCAGTGAAACACATTTTGGACACCAATATACAAGGCAACAGTTAATTTCAGAGTCATTGCCTCCATGAGAATGATGAGTCAGCACAGATATTTCAGGATAGGATGGGCTTACACTCTGTGGGTCTTGTCAACAGTTTGTGCATCCAGAGGTGAATGAATGACTGAACTAAAATTGGTTTTAATAAAGACAGCTCTGTGCAACTGAATGCAAAAGAAGACTTAAGAGGTCAGTGGCAAACTCCAGTTAACACTCTTTACCAAATTTTCGAGGGTGGTATTTGGTAAGGTGTACTCTAACCCTGCAGAGCTTTATTGAAGAAAGTTTTCTGTTAGAGAGTAAAGGCTTAAAAACATATTCCTTGCTAAGACACATCAGTGAAGGAATTATTTTGAGATACGAATTACTCTATTACCGTATATGAAACTGCAGAATTTGACAAATACATCTTAAGAATGTGATAGACAGTAGTATTGGTCAGGACAGCTCCTACAAGCAGTATTCCACATTACGGAGATTTCCTTCATTATTGTCACTGTCTTAGTCCAGAAATGAGTCTCTGACTAGGACTTATGACAGAGTCATGCCTGGGCCATCATTGTGTCTTTTAAGAGAGATTTGATTTGATTTAAGTTAAACATCTTAGCTAATTGTTACTATGGAAAAATTATTTCATTACCCAGTTGCGTAACATCAAGATTGTTTCCATGGCTTAAAACCAAACAAAACACTTGCAAAATCGACCAAGACAAAACTGGGCTGCTCGGAGCATCACATGCAAATCTTCTGTTAACATCACCATCCTTTCAGCAGATATGCTGCCTATGTAAGAATGTCTGCAATAACACTGTGAAAGGACGCAAGGCTCATGCATCACCCCCCTAATGACAATTTTGGGTGAGGTACCAGTTCATGGGGGAAAAATGCATTCGTTATTCAGCTATTTCTATCACAAGCTCCAGTCAAAAATCAAGACTACATTGTTCTGATAAATGCAAACTCATGCATTAGAAGGCAATTCCTGCCTGAAAGAACTTTCAATTTGACTTTATGATAGAAGGTTATGTATGGTTTTTCAGAGTCTAAAGTGGGGTGAAAAGACAGGGATATTGAAAAATGAGAATGCACAAAAGCTTTAATGTCATGAAATCACAGTCCCTCCATTTTTTTAATACACCTACCTCAAGAAATTGAAGCCAAATAACTTTCTCAATAATTTCTTATTTCTCATGTAAAACTGATTTATTTTGAATTTTTCCCTCCGTTTTTTTTTGCTCAGTTTTTATGCTTTTCATTTAAATTCTCCACTTATTTCTAGTCTGTTTGTTCTCCGCACCTACTGCTATGTTCAAGTGCAACCTCTGTAATTCTGAGAATACACTACAAACGTTGCTGTTGGCTGGTGTGCCAACTCCCAGCACATTCATTAGAGGTGAAGGAAATTAAACGGCTTCATAAATCCCTGCTAGACTGAGGTCTGACATAACAGAATCAACATAGAAATTCTACACATGAATTCCCTCTATGCCCTAACCAAAACCACCAGCAACACAGCCTGACTTTCACAGGCACTTCTCTCTGCAGAACTCCGGTGTGCTGTCCAGTATTCGTAAAAGCTGTGGGGTTCTCTGTTGATACAAACCTTAAGAAAATGAAGTTACATTCTCAATTACTCTAAGAGAAAGTACTTTTCTTGGAGATGTTTTGGAGGACACCAAGCCTTAAACATGTTTTATTATCTCAGATGTTCTGGAAGACTGTTTTCAAAAGGTTTATCTGATTGCACTAACATAAATCTTTTCGAATTACAGTCTTTCCTTAATATCCACCCATGGATCTGTAATTTCCTGGGCTTGACAAATTTAGAAAGGATTCCTCACTGGCTTTTAAAGGAAATGGGAGAAGATGCTTTCAAGACTGAATATATTACCAGCGCCAGGGGTCATTTTGATCAAATTTAAGTACCTCTGATAAGCATCCTGCTGAAGACCTCTACCTTGTAATGAATGATGTTGCTGGCTTTTGCTGAATGTGAAATGATCTTCTCCCCTGCCACTCCTTTCTTCTGTGGCAAGAGTAGTGAAAAAGCTATTTATCACTCAGCTGCACACTTACTTATCTCCACTTCTTTGAGCAGACTCTTTCAGGATGGAAACCTCACTACAGATTTCATATCACAGACAACTCAAGCTCTTACCTAAGCTAGTGGTTGGTTTTGGTCTGTTGACCTCTAGGTCTCAGCAAAACTCTCCTGCTCCATCTGATGCTGTGCGACATAGCACAGTCATATTTAGCTACATGGCAGTTTTCCAAGTTTCATCATCCTTTCCCTCAAAATCATAAAGATTGTATGAATAAGTCTAGTCTTCTCTGCAACACTAAGCAGTCCCCTGGGGCTTGCCAGAGATGCAGTCACATATGCCACAATAATGCTCCACTAACAAAAATCACAAGATCAGAAAGAAGAGGGAAAAGGAAGAAAGGAGCCCTGAAGAAGGGAGGAACCTGGAACAAAAAGTACATAAAAGGAGTGAGAGTTTAAACATCAGAGTTAACTAAAAGGGCAACAAAGATCTCCTTTAGTTATTTCCCATTTTGATCGTTCTTCTATTCTTTCTTCATCCCACTCCCATGTTGATAGCTCCTGTCCATTTCTTGTTCCTATTCTTTTCTTGTCACCCACTTTCTCACCCTCTTCCTCCTGTCCCCCTCCCCCTTTTTTTACCTGCAGAGGTGAACCTCAAACCATGCCTAAGAGCTCTGTTTGTGTACATCAAGCAACACTTCAAGCTTGCTCTCCTCTGGGGCAATCTTAGAGGATAGCATGAATCGCTTCCCAATGACATTACAGAAAAATATGTGACTTCATTCGACGCCCTGGATAGAAATGACCTTAAAAACCGTGCACCTTAATGAGTTTGTACCTTGCTACAGGGAGCAATCCAGTAGGCTATGGCGAGGAAGGGCAGGCCAATGGAGACCCCAAAGACAGCCAAGAACTTCACCGCTATAGATTGCTGCCGTAAGCCTGAGAGGTTTTCATACCACATGGTGAGCAATTGCTGCTGGCAGTTGGGGTGAGCAACAAACTGCAAGAGAAACAGAAATGGAAGTATCAGTAGCATTGCCTGAAGAGGATGAGATTTCAGTTAACAACCTGCTCAACTTGCCAGTGGAACAAGACAGGGCATGTCTTTGTTGTCCAGCATAGCTTATGGTGTCATGAACAGAAAATGGCAAACCAGGCATCCGAAATCCCCTGGTACTGGCAGAACGTGTTTCGATTCTGCTTCTTGTCTTCTCTAGATAACAGTTTGGTTAGACAACAGGCCTTTTAGGCCAAAACCCAACGTCCATCAGTGGCCAGCACTGACGAAGTACCTCTGTGGGCTCTCTTGAGGTAAAGCAGTCTACATTAAGATTCAGAAAAGAAACACAAAGGTACTTTGATGTCAAGCTGAAAAAAAACCTCTGATAACTTGCTAAAGATATAGGCCATTGAAATAGTAGCTCAACACAGCACTAATATTATATTGTTCTATCCACTGCATACAGACCCAAAGTGAACCATTCTGCACGGTTCTCCTTCTCCTGTAAACTAGAAGAGGTCTGGCTGGTATTTTGCCACTTTAAATGCTGTCACTCAGAGTACCTTTCAAAAATGACAGCTGATTCTTTGCTGATCAGACAAAAAGACAAATTTAAAAGCAGAAGGAATAGCAGTGGTGCTCTGGTACAGAAAGTACATGTTTTGTATCCTGTAACTGAGACTCTTCTTCAGTTTATTGTTCAGAGGAAAAAGAAAAGGTGAGCAGCAGACAGCTGAAAAGGGCAGTTTCTTAATGGTAAAATTACGGCACCACTAGATCCCACTAAAGAGTTTTATAATAAAAGATTAAACTTCTTTATTTCTTATTTTTTTCCAGGGTGATTGAATTTAGAATGCAAGTATCTTTAATCACAGAGGAAGACAATTAAAAGGCAAAATAATGGAAAGAAAATATAAAAAATAAATATCTTGCTAATGTAGCTGATTGCATTAGCAGAAGCGAGTGTTTCATTTATGAGTTTTGTGGCTGAATAAATGTTCTTAGCAGGGAAATGTAAAACTCTCCACTATTTCAAAAAGCAGAACTTTCTGGAGATGAGGGGGAGGATGAAGGGGGTAGAGAGAGAAAGAGGGGAGGAAAGCAGGGGCTACCGGGGGGCTTCGTGGCTGCTGTTGCCCCTGCCTGGCAGCGTGGACATGGACCATGTCCGACAGCTGCCCCATTGCCCCACTTCAGCCCTTCAAGTGGCAAGCAGCTGGGGGGATTTCAGTTGTAGTCTGCAGTTTTATTGGGATTGAAAAGTAGAGAAAATTCTAACTCTGCTTTCATCTTCACTAGTTATGAAACGATGATCAGATCAGGAATTTAACTAACTCTCTTCTAGATGTTGGCATAATAGCAAAACCGTTACTGTGAGTTTAAAAGATTGGTTCATTGCTAGTGGAGAATGAAATACGGTTGCACAGTAATTAATATTGCCATGGAATCGCACATTTCCTTCTTTAACAGCACATTAGCAGCTATTTAAAATGTGCTTTTTCAGATGAATTAAGCTTTGGGGCCTGCATTTCTCAAAAAGAAAAAAGTAGAAAATAAGACTTTACCCCTTCCACTGAATAAATGAATCAGAGGGAAGAAATTTGATAGGTACTTTTAACCTCTTTTGTCTTTAGATTTTTTTTTTCCTGGAAATATTAACATTTTAATATGCTTTCTATTAAGCTGCCGTCAAAAAAGAAAGCTTTCAAAAAAGAAAATCTATAAATCATCAGTCCTAGTCCTTCTGAGCATTTAAAGTTTAAGGTTAAGGTGATGACAGCAGTATCGCAAGGAAGCATTTCCTAATGCCCAGTATTTATGTTTGTGCTAATGCTGCTAGGGCTTATTATCTTTCTGGCAAATGGACAGAAAGATGAAGTGGAAGGAAGCTAGATAGAGAATTGATTCCCTTTGTAAATTTTATTTCCAGATATGATGAATTCGACTGCAATTGTAGCAACTCATGGAAAGGAAAATTACACTGGTAGATGTGCAGATTTCTGAGACGAAGGGCCAAAGCAACAGCCAGGCTTCCTCCTGCTCTTATAATTGTTCAACAGCATTATGAGAATTGATTCAGACAAAGAAATCCAGTTGTCCTTGGCTGTGAGACAGTCAAAGACTTTTGCCGCTTGGCATTTCAGAGAATTCATCAGACATTTTAATTTGTTCATTTTTTCACTCTGTCTGGGAACAGCTATGATGAAAATACAAATATAGGAAAATTGAGAAGGAATTGCCATAAAACCCAGTTCATTGGAACAATTTATTTTCTACAAGGCAATAAAGATTGGCAACATGCCATAGAGCCTTGATGATGTTCATCAAAATTGTTATTATAAAAATGAGGGAAAAATAAGATCAGGATAAGAAAGATAAGAGCATGAACAAGTTTTGATCTGTTATTTGCTCACAGTAAAACAGTGCAGTTCTTCATTATGTTTGCTCCAACAAATGTCAATGAAATATGCAGTGACCCTTGGACAATGCCAAGCTTCTCTCTCTCAAAATTTCAGAAATTGAGCTTAGATCTCATCAGAGATGTTACAGAGCCATTTAACTTTCCCTCTGCTGTGGGAATGGGCACTGACGCCAAGTTAAAGATTACACTAAAGCTTTACTTGGTGTCGTAGGCATGGAAAAGAGCAGAGTTTGAGACAAAAGCTTCAAGGGAGAATGCTTCAAAGTGTAATGAAAAATAGTGATGTGTTCTATTGAATTTCAGAGGCCTAAATACTGCAATGCTTTTTCACAGTTCCCATTAAATGCTATTTTCCTTTCTTCAGTACTGGAAAATGAGGCTAGGAGGCTTTTAGGGGCAAACTGTGGCTGCCTCTCTCCTGCATCCCAGAAGAAGAGAAAGGCAGAGAGCGTTACAACAAGAACAGTGTGGCTGGGGCTGTGCGGAAAGGCAAGATATCGCTCATCGACATGGAAGCACTGGCAGTGGAGGGGATTGCACGGGTCCAAAAAGAGCCATTTAAAAGCATTAAGCACTTTATCTCATGGGCAGAGTGAGTCCCCTCCAAGCTGATAAAGGTAATGCATCAGGATCGGGGAGCTCAAGAAATAAGTTTTCCAATGCTTCTGCATTCAGAAGCTGCAGTGGGAGCTTTTCCTAGTCCCTTGGCTCAGGGACCCCAGTAGATGGCAGTGGTTTTTCCTTATACCATGCATACCTCTGATTTAGGAAGAAAATTGAACTTTCCTCCAGACTAACAGTTACAAATTTTTTTAAGTGAAAAAAAAAATAAAAAAAAAAAATCACACATGAATCTGAAGAGCCAGCTGAAATAATGCAGCTGCCAAAGTGGCTTTTTTGAAAGCCACTGAAAGACACAGGAAGGTATTGACACCTCCAAAAGCCACTGTTCTGTGCTATAGAGGATTAAATGAGATGAATATTTGCCTAGAATATGGAAAAAATATTTCAAAGCCTTCAGTTAGAATTGAAAGGGGCTGAAGGAACTGTTTTACATATAGAAATAAAGAGAATGTTTTAGAGATAACCGTGGATACCACATTGAATGATAACTTTTCCTCATTGCTATCTAATTTGATGTATGACAGCTCTTTCTTGTAGTTTGTCATATATACATGGTGGGAAAGCACCATACAGCTTTCATGACAGAGTGAGATGTTTTCCTCAGCATACTTGTTCAAAAATGCATGAGTTTCGCTACGCAGACAATAAAGTACCTTTATATCTCTGTAGCCGTATAGGAAGTTACTTCTGCCAGAAAACATTGCGATATAGAGACTTTCATTTTTTATTTTCTATTATATAGAGAGAAAGAGTCTGTGATGAGGACCCCAGTCACTGCTGCTGTTCAGTGTTAGCACTGCGGTTGTCTAAACTGTCAGTGGTTAAACAATGTTTAAATACCCTATCCAAAAAACCCCCACGGTCCTTACATGAAGAGCATCTCTCTTATCTTGTGGCACATAACAGATGAGCTACAGCCAGGTCACAATACCCCAGGAAATTCTTAGGAGTGCCAGATAATACTCACACATCAAATGGGAGGAAAAGGAAAAAAAAAAAAAAAAAAGAAAAAGATATCTATCTATCCTGGACAGAAAAATGCTGTCAGCAGAAATAAGGAAACTTATGGCAAGACAGGTAAAAGGTGGAGATCAACCTCAGATGATGGGAATGAATCTTGCAGAAAAAAACCCCATATCTCTTTTATCACTGAAATAATTCCAATTCCCTTGCCAGTGCAGAAATCCACCACTGAGTCCAAAGAATTAACCATTCAGACAGGATCATCTCGCTTTGCTGATGCACCCTATGCTAAATAGCCAGAGGCTGAGGTAGGAAGGAAAAACTCATCCATGAACCAGTGAAAACACTTTAAAGACCTGCACGTCAGAAGTAACAACGCAAACTTGTGACCTTAATGTCCTGCTTTCACAGAGATACTCCTGGCGTGTCCACTCTAAACCTTACAACAAACACTAGCAAACCTTGGCAAACACAAGCTGCAATTCAAATGAGCAGCGGCATGTTTAATCAGTGAGCGAGAGCTAGAAAAGGAGCTGCATAAATAGATTTTCAGGAGAACATCAGTAATGTCAAGAGACACTGGCAGGGGCAGAGACGAGCCATTTTTCTTTCCATCATGTAGCTGCGTCCGTGTCCTTCAAACAGCCTTTCTGGGTTCATTATTAAACATTTGTCTTTTGATGTAGCTCATTGCTTCTGCAAGCCTACATTGACGAACACATTTTAGGCTGCAGCACCTGCTCACAGGACCCCCTGGTTGGGTGCATAATGCTTCAAATGCCGGAGATCCTAGTAAAATGCTGAAATCATTCTGATGACTCCTTTGAGTCAATTGTCACTCCGTGCCTCTGGATTACAAGGGAAAATGAAGGGAGCATCAAGTGCATTGTATACCTGGCTTTTTCCATTTTGCTGGGGCTGTCACCAGGGAGCACAGGAGCAGCACTCCTGCAGGGATGAACACCTTGGAAAAACTGGGTGGGATCTGAAC